CAGTCTTACAAGCTGCTGTGGAGAGAGAGCGAAGTAGTGGAAGGGCACTTGACTTGCCACCAACAGAAATTGAAACTTGTGCATATATTCAGATAATTGCATTTAAATTTTTGCATGAAAGTATTACTTGATATGATGCATAAATGAACAAAATTTCAGAAGAGGTTATGACATGACAACATTGGCCGTGGAATCTGTCAGGATCAGCAACGATGTTCCACAACTTATCCAGTAGACAAGATATATATCGAAATTAATTGTTGTTTTGGGGCTATGTCTGCTGTTTCATGAGAGAACAACAAAATAATCTGCATTTTCATTATCTTCAGATACATGGTCTCTGTAGACTGAAAGCATGCAGCCAGGAAATTTGTTTTAATGCAACAGAGTATATAATTAAAAAAATGGAGTTAACCAGGTCTTAAAAAGATGCCGTGATTTGGTGATGTGCTTTTATGATTGTGACCATGTGGTGGTATATGTAATGTAATCTGTCATTCTTGAGAGAAAATGGCCTTTTGTATTGACCTGTGCATCACTTGGTTGTTGGTATGCTGTATCAGGTTGGGTGCTAATGTTAGCACTGCCTGTCATATTGTTAATGTGGAATATTGACAGTTTGTGCATTGATTTCTTTGCTGGCATCTTTAATTTCATTCACACTCACTTTAGTCCAGCTGCACTTGCCTTGTAACGGTAATTAACTCTAGAATATTGTTCATTGTTAAAATATTGTCATGTGTGGTTTTGTAAAACTTTATTGCTACAATGTTTGATCTGTATGTCAGTTCAGTCTGGCGCAAGTCCCTTTATTTATAGTTTTCTTCATATGGCTTTGAAGTAAATAGCGCTTCTAACGGCTGTGCAGCACTGTTCATCTTCCTACACTTCATTCAGTATTGTGTTCAGATACCTACTGCTTCATTCAGATGAAATGCTATGAAATATCCAGTGAAAGACAACCTGACACATTTTTTGTCATGGAAATAGAGAACTTCATATGGTAATGCTACAGAATGTGTTCTCCTGCTGGAACTGGTCATAAACTGCAGCAAAAGCAGAGGAGGGTTGAATTTGTCCTTCCTCTGTCATCGGACAGTTCAGTCCACACTGTTTAAGAGAGGTGGGGTTCTGCCTTGCAAGCTTTCTTTATGTAAGCCCCTGCCTTGCGTTGCCAGCCACTCCCTGTGTCTACAGTTACCTCCTCAACTGGACACTTAGTCATTAATAGGTGACAAGCTGCAACTGAAAACACTTTTGTTGGCATTTAGGGATACTTAAAATGCTTAAATAGAAACATTTTTTAATGACTCATTTTATTATATATTATATAGAAATGTGACTGGTGAGCCACCCCTGGGGGAAGCAATAAATACGTGCCACTACTTCAGTATTGCAGAAATGAAAAGTGGGCTGTAACTCAGAAAGGAGGCTTTTGTGGACATTTGTTTTTCCATTCTCATCTGTATATTCGTACAAGAGCAGTCACTCACTTGCCACTGCATGGTGACAGCCTACAGATATATAGGATAGCTGTGAATATACTGTAACGTGGGGCGGTATTGCTACCCTTGATTGTCAACCCTGATTTATTCACGTCAAATTAAATCAGTTACAGAGGTCTGCACTTACACTCAACTCTCTACAACAACAACACACTTCTAGTCTCTGTTCTCTGTACACACACACACACACATACTTTCACACTGTCCTTCGAGTCTATCTGGTCCCTCGAGCTCACTCTTCACACTCTTCGCTTACACATAGTCCTGTAGCACCCCACTGGACACACGCTGGCTCCTCGGCCGCCACGGTCCACGTACCCGGTGCTCGCTCACGCAGACGACCTGTCCTTACCCAGCGCCACACCAGACCTCTCGTTGGCTCCACTCACTCGACTCCACCACACACTTCTGTTACGCCCGATTCATAGCTCTGTTCTTTCCACACTCATTGCTTATCGCTTGCCACCAATGTCCGCAACAGCATATCGCTTGCAACTCACTTCTACATCCTGACACTCTTCTTCCACACTCTCCTCAACTCTCTCTTTTTCCGCACACTCTCCAAAGCAACCAACCAAAAAGGTAACTGAGGGCGGAGGCCTGCGCAAGCGCAAGCATCGTCCCTACCTAGGTGAAACCATTCCTGCGCACAAGGCGCATTGCTGGAAATGGTAAATGGTCTTAATATAAAAAAAACGGAAATTTTGCTAACGCTAACGGGGTTTCGTCGTGGCGGGCATCGGCTTTTAAACAAACGCAACAATGTCATTAAACAGACAATTATAAACGAATACAACAATGCCAAACGCAACACTGTCAGTAAACAGACAACTAAACTGTTTATTGACATTGTTGTGCTGCTCTCATGGCAACACGTCACAATACTTAGTAAGCAGTTGTGGGTTGAGAGCAGAGGTGGTCAAGGGTAGTAACACCTCACTGTAGAAGAAAATGGTATGTTGTTGTTTTGTAAGAGTGTGAAACTTAGTCTCTCCAAGAACATGGTGCTCAGGATAATATGTTGACTTATTAGTGATGAAGTGTCAGAAGATTGGAGAAAGTTGTGTAATAAGGTGGAATTTGTACCGTTTTTCAGATATTAGGATGAGATTTATGGGGCATGTAGCATTCATGGGAAGATGAGAATTACATGTAAAATTTTGGTTGGGAGTCCTGAATGGTAGAAGACAACTCAGAATACCTAGGCATATGTAGATGGGAGGATAATTTTAAAATGGTTCTTAGGGAAATACGATCTGAAAGTGTAGATTGGATGTATGTGGCTGGGGGTAGGAACCAGTGTTGGGGTTTAGTGAACCCGGTAATTAGCCCGCAGGTTCTGTAAATGGCTGAGAATTTCTTGTCTAGCTGAGTGTACTATCAGCATCACAGGAAGAACGCTGTGCCATGGAGCTTATAGTGTTTATTAAATGAATGTTATATTCATTCTGAGGAGAAGTGAGGATAATGACTTAAACTCTTGTTCGTTATGTTTGTGGTCATTAAAGTCTTGAGCACGGTTTGTGGTCAAATAGGAATTGACATTTCTTTTGAGGGCAATCAAAGTGAATCACTGTTAAGAGGGAATAATTATGACTGTCGCAGGGTCATGGGACAAGATGTGGAGTAGTCACAAAATATTCTGCTAGTTTTAGTTTGTGAACACTGCATTGTGCATAGTTTTATCAGTATTTTTTACCTTTTTGTGTGTATTAAAGGAAGTAAAGTGACATGTAATGTTACATCTGATGGGTCACTGTGTTTTTTCTGTATCACTGATGAGATTCTAATGGCGGTGTTAATTGTTATTTAAAAGAGATTATGATGGAAACAACAAAGGAGATGAATGTACAAAAGGGATAAATGGAGAAATAGACAGGGTGAGGGGCTTGGTTATGATGTACATTATTCCCTGTTGAACTTCATGTGCATGGACATTGGTCGTAGAGTAAAGATAGTTAATAAATCTTTTAAAATGCCACAAACTTAAAATTCTCAAGAATGACTATAAAAAAACAAAATTACTGTAATGTAATTATGTCGTGCAACACAATAGTGAAATCGACTTTAGTAGACTCATTTGGACGAAAATTGTAAGTTTGCTCTAAAGTTAATATATTTCTATTCAAGATTATCAGAACCCAGTGCTAGATTTTCTGTATGTTTAAAGTGTAAAAATATACAAGTACTTGTAGTGGTCAGCATCTGACCACATGCACTATGCCGTGGTCCACCTTTCTTTGATATTTTATGTTTACCCAAGAAAGAAATATAAAGATGTCAACAACATAAGTAGAAGTGTAAGAACTGTGGAGAGAGTAAAAAGTAAAGTAAAGTTTGTCCCACTATACGCCATGTAGGCGTTTGGGGTGAGTTGAGGTATAGCTCCTCTCTTCCTTGACCTCAGCACTAGATGGGGGTGAGTGGTCAGCATCACGCCCCGGCCGGCTTTACTCCCGGGAAAGGACCCCGGTACCCATTGTAGAGGAGGCTGGGTGGGCCCCAGAGCCGGTCTGGACGCAGAGGAAAAATCCCGTCGGGGATCGAACCCCGGCCGTCCAGCCCGTAGCTAGTCACTATACTGACTGAGCTATCCCGGCTCATGTGGAGAGAGTAAAGAATAGTAGATTTCAAAGTGTTATTTACCATTTACCTAATTCATATTTTATTATAGCATAAAATTCCCAATGGTTTCCCATACCACCAGACTGAAAGGATCATATGTCTGAGAATCATTAACAGGGTTAGTGTTACAAGCACTTTGAACTTCAGTGAGGAATGATTTCTTTTGTATCATAATCCCTTACCCTCTTTATTTCTTTATCCCTTTGGCACCTATTCCACCTCTTTTTTCTCTGTTTATTTATCTCTTTCACATCTCATTATATTTCTAAGGGTGTGACATAAATGTATGCAATTAATAAAAACAGTTTATAGGTAATAAATATCAGTCAAACATGCTGTTAATGGGAGAACAAAAATAAGAATATCACACATAATTAGGTATAACATAATTTCACAGTTATCCCTGAGATCCATATCCAATTAAATATGTGTGAGTATGCACATAGATACACCCACCAACATAACCACAAACTTTTGTATAATAGAGATGAACAGAATAATAGGCAGAAGAGGGGGGTTTTTATTTCACATTTTTTATATCATTTTGTGTGCTTCAGTCTCATATATGTGAATTTGTTGTGGTGATGCAGAAAATAACCATTTCAAATGTTATAAAGCAGTTAAGAATCAAATAATCACCTTGTTAAAATAAATATTTTCCAGTTCACAAAATGTATAAAAAATGGTAGCTACAGCAGTTTTCACTTTACCGTGAGTTTAGTTTTCTCAGGGCTGTATTTTCAAGTGTTGATTATTTTAAGCATAACTGGATCAAATTTGTTTAATTTATAATACATGTATTGATAGTATTTTAAATTGTGTTCCTTGATCAACTTCTCATAATGTTGACTTTCTCCCATTATTTGACAGAATTTTCTGCGACCATTCTTGACTTCAGACCTGTACTTCAGATATTTATCAGAGTTGATAAACACAATTCAAGCAATTCCCGCTTTGCTATCAAGATCAAGGAAATCAGGTATTGTTCATTTCCATGTCAGGTAAGTCAGTGGTGTCCTTGCTGTGTCCCATGGAACTTTGGGGTTCTGTGATAAATTCCAAGGGTCCCCATGGTTACGTTTCTGAAATGATAGAAGTCCAACCTAAACAGTAATTCCTTGTAAATTACAAATCCAAACTGATTGTAACTTAATACTCCTCAGAATTAGGGCTGTGGTTTAAGAATGTGGTAAGCAGTCCTTCAGTATCGATTTGTTAAATGAAACTGAAATTTCACATTGGACTGCAGTGTACAGATTTGGACCTCCTGTATTCTGTTTGGGTGGTCCCAGTTTCAACTTGATTAGAAGACTGACTCTTCTTAAAAAAAGTCTTATGTAGTTTTCCTTGGTCATCTGTGGCAAATGCAGTGATACTATAATGAATTGTTCTTGGGCTAAATGGAGAAAACATTCAACCACCTGACACGGCTTGTAGCCCAAGAATAATTCATTATACTTAGTTGCCATGAAAGCCTTAGATCATACAACAATGATACTGCTCCAAAATACAAAAATCATAAATTATTGCAGATAACATTAATCCTGCATGATTGATAGAAGAATAATCTTTTGGTGCAGATTCCAAAAACGTTAACTACATTGCTGCAGCTAGGTCTTTTAGAGTAACTCTGATTTCCATGCTTTTCAGCAAAGGAAAATGTAATTTTATTCTCAGTAATTCTGGGTATGCTATATAAAAGTCTTAAATTTTAATTTTTGTGGCTTTACTGTCATGTTTACTGTATAAAACATTTCTGTTTCATTTCCCTTTCAGCCTAACATCCATATTTTTAAAAGAAAAATTGTTATTAAGTATTTGTGCCCATGTGCATGTATTTGTATAGAATGAGTTGGTTAGTACGCGCTTTACAATGAATAGCTTTAATAGAAAATTGCTTTAAACTGATGATCAGAATGCATTCAACGCCTCCTCATTCCTCCTCCTTCTCCTGCTGTTGGTGATGATAATAATACCAATAACAGTAATAATGTAACATATTTAAAATTGCAAGCAAGAAAACATTCAGACTCAACAAACATTCAATCTTGTGACTATCTTGCATGAGTCCCTGAGCTAACTTGTATTAACTAGTGGATTTATCTTCATATTATATTAACATCACACAGTATAAGTTTCGGTTGAAAGTTGTTTGTCTATATAAATAATGAATTCCTCTCTGGCTACCAGCCAGGATACTGGGAACTTCAGTACCCAGAGGACGACGACAGAGATGGTTCTTGAAACGGCATTTTCTCCATTAAACCACCCTGACATGGCTGGTAGCTCAAGAAGAATTCATTATACTTAGTCACTGTGAAAGCTTAAGATCATATGTCTTAGAAAACTTGTTTTTTGATATTTTTCTCTAAAGAGAAAATTCAGTGTGTACTGTACATATTGCATGCATATTCTCAGAATACTCACTTTCTTAGATACAAATGAACCAGTAAGGAAGAAATAAAGCAGTGTTTAAAGCATACACATGAATGATAATACTGGTAACGGTCGAAATCATGTAAGTTTAAGTGTAGTTTGCTTCAGTTTTTTATGAATAAGAAGATAAGTATGAAGATTTCTGTCTTCTGGGTTGTTGCGCTGTGTAGTCTGGTCGATGTTAACCAACGTTTCAGAGGTCATTCTGCCTCCGTTATCAGGGTGATGTATACAGAAGATAAGTGTTTCCAGACTTATAAAAGCATGAGGGCTGAAAACATTGTCAAAGAGACTTCTGTTTACTGTAGTTTTTATTTTTCAGAAACATGTAAAATAATACTTATTTTGTTATCCTCTAAATACTGACATAAATTTAGCAGCAGTATATTTATATAATGAAATTAACTCTGTGGCTGAGTGAGATTTCCGGTTTTCAGAGTGCCATCATTGCTTGCCTTCATGATGGAGGCAGTAAGCATCTCTGAAATGTTGATCAGTTTTTACAAAAACACTTGGTGTAACATCCCAGGAGATAGTCATTGTAAACCCTGTGGCTCTTCTTCTTTCTTTCTTTCTTTCTTTCTTTCTTTCTTTCTTTCTTTCTTTTTTTCATGCCTACCATGATTGCCAAACCAGGGTAAAAATCTGATTTTACATTTCACATATTATTTCCACATACCACAAAACCACTGGAAACAGTGTAACAAGTGTGAAGTTGTCTGTGCCATTATAAAGATTTTGATATGTGGCACTTGAGAGTTTAATTGCAGAAATCCCATAGATGGAGTACTCTGTATTTGTACATTTTGAGATTTCACACCCAAACCACACAAAATATAACTGTGTATGTGACATCTCATTGGAAATAACCAGCATGTTAAGACACAACTTTAAAGGAGATATTAGGGAACCTGATATAGAACAAAATTTGTTTTGTCAAAATGACTGTCTTCTGGGTTGTACCATTGTGAAATCAGGTAGAAGTTTACCAACATTTTAGAGGTACTTTCTGCCTCCATGATCAGGGTGTTCGCCATGATGATGATGTACCTGCAACCCATACATCAGCCATCTTCAAATCCTACTTTGTCTAATCAGTTCTCTTTCCTGTAATTAGTTTTTAATGTTTATCTAAGGTTCAGAATGCAGCAGTGAATGTAACATCTCGATCCATAATACTCTTTTGGCCATGGAGGATACAACACCTCCTCCACGTAAGATAATTTGCAACGTGGATGACCGAGAGATGAGCATTGACTCAAGGCAGTTATATGACCCAGATTCACTTTGGAAAAGGAGACATAGAATGTGAGTACAAACTCTATTAGCATGACGTAAGGCCATATATAGGTTTATTGGTTGTGCACTGTAGTGTCACTATCAAGGAAGTTGGCAGTAGACTCTACAACATGAGCTAACAATGTTCAGGTACCCATGACAACCCACAATAGAAAATAATACCATTGCAAAGCTAGTGGCAAAACATAGGAAAATAAGGACGTAAAGTACTGGATGCCAAATCATCATCATCAGTGGCTCTACAACCCTGGTGTGGGTCTTGGCCATCTCCTTTTCAGAGGTTTTTCGGTCTTTGAAGCGTGCATTTGTGAGTAGTGAGTGAACAGCCCTCTGACTCTGCACAATTTCTAGTCAATCCCGATTTGACTACCAGAGCCATCTAGCTGTCAATCAGGAGACTTGGGTGAGAAAGGGTCGCTGAATTTTGCTTACAAAACATCTCATTCATGTTCATATGGCTCTTTTACATGCCATAAATCTATGACATGGGACTGCCGGCTTTACTTCACCTCCGAAGGAAGTTGTGTTACGGATTTTTATCACCCTTAAAAATCCACCGACCTCGGCCAGGTTCAAACCCGCGAACTTTGGGTCCAGTGGCGAGCATGCTAACTGCTAGTCCACCGAGGGCGACGCTGGATGCCAAATGTTTTTCTTATTATTTACTTGGCATTGCCTTCCGTACTAATTATAAGCAGGAGGGACAGAAATAATGTTTGGAAAACTTTTTTCTAAAAATGCTCTGAGTGAAATTTGGCAATTGCTGTCTCGTCCTCAAGTTTTTGTAATGTTAGGACATTGATCAAACTCTAGTATGCTGCATGTCCCCTCCCATCCCATCAGTTTACTTCCCCCCCTCCACAAGTAGTTTCTGAAAGCAATGGTTCTTATGTATGAATTGATATTCAATACAAGGGAAGAACATGAAAAAGTGAAAACAATTTCATAGGTTGACAACATCAGTAAAATTGCTGTGTACAGACACATGCAAACGTTGAACTGGGAAAGCTCTGAAGTTTGCTGTGGTGTACTGTCCAAAGTACGATGTTGGCCTTTGTTTTGGTAATTGTTTTGAGAGCTATCATATCAGGGAAATGTACTAAAGGTAATTTGGTGTAGAAATTTTAACACTGAGGAGAGAAGAAAATTCTTTTATATTATGTGCAGATAAATTTTTGTGTTTGTGTTAGCGGACAGTTTCATTGTATCTATAAGCTTCATGATTACGACATTACAGAAGAACTAACAAATCTAAGTACCTCACATGTGATATTTTGCTGAAGATATCTGTCTTTAATTCAAAATTTCATTAAAATATTATTTTTTTTATTATACCCCCTTGCCTTTTGAAACCTATTGCACTGGGTATTTAAAATATTAATGTTAATAAATTATGATTACAGATTTGAGACAGATTTAGCCTGACCATATTAGTTAAAATAATCCAGATTCATAGGAAAGAGTATGAAGTATACTTGCAGGGTGATAAGACAATGTAAAAGCAATGTATGTATTGTATCACCAGAGGTTCATCACCTTTGATTGAAAAATGTACTCAGGCTTATAAATTGTCTGTGTGAGAGTTAATTTTTGTTGTTATTAAATTATTTATAAACAGGATGAAACATCACAAAAGAAAATAATAATGATGATATGATGATACATGATGTTGATTATTGTTTTTTTAAAGTTTTTATGTATTTTTATTTTTTGTTGAAAGAGGTGCCATGCACCTTTTTTTGTTGAGATAGACTTGTGTTCAGATATTGCCAACTTATTAAAAAAAATCATTTATTTTCAGGGGCTTGAACTTTGGTCGAATAAACGCAATGGGCCGGTTTGAAACTGACATTCAACCAGAACCAGACAGGAAAGAAGGTTTGTGTTCAGTTTTTGTATGCTTGGAGTGAAGTTTATCTGCCTTGTAATTTATATTTTGGTTATGAAGGAACTAAGAATTTTGTATTTAGATAAATCTTATTCATCCCACATCTTGAGATGCTTGTATTTAGTGAAGGTCCTTACTAAATGATGGCTAACAAAACAGACTAATTTGATGTTGAGATAGTGACTTGCTCTTTCAGAATCTCGAATTGCCAGGGTGGTTAAAAAGCTGGTCAACATGGACGAAGATAAGGTAACTATTTATTCTATTCATTTCATTATTAATTGTACATCGACTTAAAGGGTCTAGTCCCATCCCTCTTAAAGTACTTCTTTGGTAAGTCTGCCTAATCTGCATAAGTGAAGAACACCTTTTAGGCCCATCTGTGTCTGTCACATTTTATACGTTCTGTGCTTGGCCAGAATGTATTATAGGCTGTCAAGTCTATCTGTCCGTCTATCTGCATGATTTAACTCAAGACTCGGTGGATGGATTAGGAGGATACTTAGTATGGGTGTTGAGCCATTGGGGACTACATAAAAATTATACTTTTGCACAGCCTATGATCAATAATAAAATGGCAGGTGAGGAAATTTGTGAGGTGGATTCAGAGTAGGACAATGGGGTGCTGCACTCTGGTGGCTGAGGTCAAAACTATTGAAGTTTGAGTTTGTCTGTTTGCATGTGTGTATGTTTATTGAATTGTTATATAGTCAAAGCCTTCCAGTTAAAATTATGCTCTTCTCTCAGGAGTCAGTATATGAAAAAGAAATAATCAATAAAGAAGAAATAAAACAATGTTTAAAATGTCCATGTACTTTAGTGATTACAATAGTGACAGTTGTGTAAAATATGTAGATTGCATTGCACTTTCTTTTTGAATAAGAAGATAAATATAGTACGCAACTGTAATCTTGAGACTTGCAAGGAATGCAGGAAGTCCAAAGCGTTAAAGGCTGACGCTATCTTTCCTCCTTCACCCCACTTCCTCACCCCGCAAATCTCAAGATTACAGTATTACACTGTAGGTAAGAGTTCATGAATAAATTTTGTCTTATGTTGAAAATATATGTTTATGTTCTTGTATCACTGTACTTAATTGGGCACTTTTTATGGTAATGCTTGCATAATACATCCATAAATAATCTTAAAACATTGCATACCGTACAGTGTTGAGTATCTAAAATATAAAATTATGCGTACAAACAAAACTGTTTACACTTAAAAAAACCAATTTGTGCCAAACACGTTTTGACCTCATGAGGTCATCATCAGTGGCAAAACATATTAATTCAGTCCATTAATCTGTCTATTCATAAATCAATGCAATATTATAAAAACAGTCATATTTTACAAAACACTTTATGTAATACCACGCTGAACATTTATGTTACACATGAGTTGGTGTATTATCTAAATTGAGTCACTCATAGCAGCATAATGTCCAAAGTCTTGTGGTTTTCATTGTTGGTCTATGGTGAGCCATGGTTGCACTGTCGGTGCATGGATTGTTGTGAATTCTAACATTTCGTGGGTATTTCTGTCAGTTTAAAAAAGGGTACAGGGTTTATAATCACTATGGCAATCAGTGTGGCCATCTATGTTTTTATGCACAGTGCTTTATAACATTGCGTTGATTTATGAATTGTATGATTTGAGGTTTTCACCGGTGAGTATGAAGATTGCTGTCTTCTGGGTTGTTGCACTGTGTAGTCTGGTAGATGTTTACCAACGTTTCGGAGGTCATACTGCCTCCGTCATCAGGGCGATGAGTATGAAGATTTCTGGCTTCTGGGTTGTTGTGCTGTGCAGTCTGGTAGATGTTTACCAACGTTTCGGAGGTCATACTGCCTCCGTCATCAGGGCGATGAGTATGAAGATTTCTGGCTTCTGGGTTGTTGTGCTGTGCAGTCTGGTAGATGTTTACCAACGTTTCGGAGGTCATACTGCCTCCGTCATCAGGGCGATGAGTATGAAGATTTCTGGCTTCTGGGTTGTTGTGCTGTGCAGTCTGGTAGATGTTTACCAACGTTTCGGAGGTCATACTGCCTCCGTCATCAGGGCGATGAGTATGAAGATTTCTGGCTTCTGGGTTGTTGTGCTGTGCAGTCTGGTAGATGTTTACCAACGTTTCGGAGGTCATACTGCCTCCGTCATCAGGGCGATGAGTATGAAGATTTCTGGCTTCTGGGTTGTTGTGCTGTGCAGTCTGGTAGATGTTTACCAACGTTTCGGAGGTCATACTGCCTCCGTCATCAGGGCGATGAGTATGAAGATTTCTGGCTTCTGGGTTGTTGTGCTGTGCAGTCTGGTAGATGTTTACCAACGTTTCGGAGGTCATACTGCCTCCGTCATCAGGGCGATGAGTATGAAGATTTCTGGCTTCTGGGTTGTTGTGCTGTGCAGTCTGGTAGATGTTTACCAACGTTTCGGAGGTCATACTGCCTCCGTCATCAGGGCGATGAGTATGAAGATTTCTGGCTTCTGGGTTGTTGTGCTGTGCAGTCTGGTAGATGTTTACCAACGTTTCGGAGGTCATACTGCCTCCGTCATCAGGGCGATGAGTATGAAGATTTCTGGCTTCTGGGTTGTTGTGCTGTGCAGTCTGGTAGATGTTTACCAACGTTTCGGAGGTCATACTGCCTCCGTCATCAGGGCGATGAGTATGAAGATTTCTGGCTTCTGGGTTGTTGTGCTGTGCAGTCTGGTAGATGTTTACCAACGTTTCGGAGGTCATACTGCCTCCGTCATCAGGGCGATGAGTATGAAGATTTCTGGCTTCTGGGTTGTTGTGCTGTGCAGTCTGGTAGATGTTTACCAACGTTTCGGAGGTCATACTGCCTCCGTCATCAGGGCGATGAGTATGAAGATTTCTGGCTTCTGGGTTGTTGTGCTGTGCAGTCTGGTAGATGTTTACCAACGTTTCGGAGGTCATACTGCCTCCGTCATCAGGGCGATGAGTATGAAGATTTCTGGCTTCTGGGTTGTTGTGCTGTGCAGTCTGGTAGATGTTTACCAACGTTTCGGAGGTCATACTGCCTCCGTCATCAGGGCGATGAGTATGAAGATTTCTGGCTTCTGGGTTGTTGTGCTGTGCAGTCTGGTAGATGTTTACCAACGTTTCGGAGGTCATACTGCCTCCGTCATCAGGGCGATGAGTATGAAGATTTCTGGCTTCTGGGTTGTTGTGCTGTGCAGTCTGGTAGATGTTTACCAACGTTTCGGAGGTCATACTGCCTCCGTCATCAGGGCGATGAGTATGAAGATTTCTGGCTTCTGGGTTGTTGTGCTGTGCAGTCTGGTAGATGTTTACCAACGTTTCGGAGGTCATACTGCCTCCGTCATCAGGGCGATGAATGAGCCAATCGAGCATAAAATGCTAGGTTTATAGGGACCAAACAGTGAATGGAGTATCCGAATCCTAGCCAATGGGAGCTGGTGTCAGATCAGGTGTGGGTGGGGACCAATAGACAGATTAATGGACTGAATTAATATGTTTTGCCGCTGATGATGACCTCATGAGGTCAAGACGTGTTTAGCACAAAGTGTTTTTTTAAGTGTAAACAGTTTTCTTTGAATGCATAATTTTATATATTAGGCATCCATAAGTAACTTACTGTAGTTTTGTACTTCATCTAGGAACATTCAGAATGGATGTGCACAAAAAGTACATATGTAAACTTTGTGCATTCCAGGATAGATTACATCTTTCCAGCCTTGTTATACTAGAAAAGGTGAATAGATTGTGTTTAATACAACTGTCTGTGAAATAGTGTGGTAATGTTTAGAGTGCTAATAAAAATGTAATTTTTGACAGGCTAAGGAGGAGATGGCATGGCAGATAGCAGAGATGATTGTAAAGGACATCACTAGCCTCACCTTGGGTGGCAATGAACAAGTGCAATCTTGATCCTAAGATATTGTTAATGTAGTCAGAAGAATTGACAGGGTTTGGGAGTGATCCCTACATTTATTTATTTTCATAAATTTTCCAATGGGTTTTTGGGTAAAAACTCTGGAAATTGTACTAGATCTTGTAGCTGTTCAAGCTGGTGGCTGTTAAATGAATGTGATTGTAATACATCTGGCATACACTTCTCAGTATGTGATGGTGTGTGTGTGTGTGTGTGTAATATATATATATATATTTATGTATGTTATGAATATTTGTAGCATTATTTCCACATTTGCGTGGTTCATGACTTGCATGATTCAAAATTTTTTTGAATTGTGCTGTACTAAAGTATGTCTGACTAACTGCAACTGTAACTGTGCAGTTAATTCAGGCAAAAAGAGACTTTAAGTTTTGCATTAAAAGTTGTGACATTAGTTGCCAAAGCTCTTTTCTGTGAAAGACTAAAAAAGAGAGGGACTGTGTGTAACTTAGAATTGGCCAAGAAGCTATTTTGAAGGTTTGTTAATAATTTGCTCTTATCAGCCTTACTGCCGTTATATTCAGGGTGGTAGTGGCTGTTGAAAACATATTTCAGACATGGTGGCTGGTGAGGGTTTGTCACTCTTCTGCTTGAACTTGACTGCCCACATGCTGAGCAGTGAATTTCTTGCCACATCATGTATAAACCCACTTTTGTTTGAAATAAGTAAAATTTTTAAAATTTAAGTTATTGACTTGTCTGAGCAAATTACTCACATATTTAGAAACACAGTTCAAGTCAGAGCCTGAAATACTGTTTTCACAGTTAGATGTATTGATTGAGATGTGAAAATCTCAAGATTAAGTGAACAGTATGAATATCAAAGCCAGGTTAGGGACTCACCATTTGATTGGCTTTCAAATACTGAGATTGATTTTTGAAATAATAATATATCTGAAGTGTCCCATAAATCTGAGGATTCTGTTCTTGCTACAAGGAAGTTATGACAAAACAGTGTTTTGAATCAAAAGCTGAATATGGGCCCACATTCAAAGCAATCTAATCTTAAGAGAAGAACGCCACAAACTTTGACAATACAACTTAACCAGTTAAGTGACATTATCTGTCATTATCTCTCCCACTGTGGGTTATTTATTTCTGTGTGCATTTAGATGTGTAGCGGTACTATCTAATTTTAACATTTGAGTTTCTGCTCATATTTGAAATTTAGTATCTGGGCCATTTTTAATGGTAAAATTATGAAACAGTCACTGATTGAAAGACAAATTGTCACCCTTGTTTCCATATATGTAGCCCTTACATAATATTTAATTATTATTTTTTAGAAAGATTAAGTACTTTTGGCATTACACCACTGACATGGATTCTAGTTGAAATAAGACATCACTGATGCATTTCTGACTTACACATTATGTTATGCGATCCTTTCGACAGTATAATGTTTAGATTTGAAATGCTATTCATACACCCATGACTACTAAGTGGGTGAAATTTCAATTGAATGCTGCTGAAAAACAGCAGATGTTTAGATTTGGAACACTATACACTCTTGATATCTTGGCGCAATGGAAGTTCAATGGACACAAAGCATAGCATGCTCAGATCAAAGTGTCACAATGTGGATTGTGGTTGTTGACTTATTCATAACACCAATCAACTAATTGATCCTTGAAATATTGTAACACCCACATGGGGCTGTGGCATCAATGTATGCTAGTTGGGTCTGTAAGTCTGTATTGGAACTCGAACCTAGTAATTTTTCTTTTGTTTCATTCTTTATATTTTTGTTCAAGAAATTCAAATTCATGAAACAGGTATCAGTCAAATTACAGAAGTGTTTCTGTTAGCAATTTTTCAGCCTTTTCCTAGTGCTATGGCAGCTTACCTGCTAAGCATCACTCATGTCTACTCCTCCCATCTTCAAATTATAGGCGGCGACTACTCTGGGCTTCCTGACGTCTTGCTCTCGAACCCCAGTTTGGACCAATTTGTTGTCATGAGTGACAGAAGGTAAATATCTTTCTTGCCATCCCTCTTCATGATCATCAACTTGTCCTTGTATATCCCACACTTTTTCCTTTTTCAGTGTTGACTTCTCTATTTTGTCAGGCACAGCCTCTCTGTGTTGACGCAGTGTTCCTATGGCATCAGTCTGCTGTGTAGTTTACTCTTCAGATTAGGGCTTTGAAACCAATTGTCCCTGATTAAGAAGACAAGTCATTAGTTCTAATACTACTTTTGAACAACAAGGCTTATTTCCTACATAGTCATAAAAAGTGGTATCCAGCCCAACATGAGACTAATATTCCAGATATAACCAAATTTAGCTTCACACAATTCAAATTATTTTCTTCAAAATGTAGCCTCTTTTTGAGGGGATATATACCTTCCAACTCAGTTGTCCCTTCCATATCAGCAACTCATGCATTAACACTCCAGAATCTGGGGTGTACACGCACTTAAACATATCATTGATGTGGTCTCGTATTGGCTTCAGTTGTACAATTTTCTGTAACCACATGTGGCTTCTTCATAATGTTCATTATCGATTAAATTATGAAAGCTGAGTAGAAGGTGAAATAGCTATGAAAATTTAGGCACTTTACCCTCTTGGAAAAATAAGAATTGTTTTCAAGTTTTTATTCCAATCCAGTGGTGGAATCTAGACCTTATTTTCAAGTTTGGCATATTTCTAAAAATGATAGGGCATTCCAGACCGAGTGTGGCAGGACAGAGTCTAGCAGAGTCGTGATCTGGTGATGTTCAGATAAGGAGAATTTTGAAAAAAATTCAAATATTTCTAAATTTTCGAAAAATCAAAAAATGATGGAAATTGTCTAAAATGCGGACAAAACCAATGATTATCGAAATTTTTGAGAAAACAAATTTAAGGTAAAGTTTCTCAAATTTTTTTAGTTTTGTGAGATCTTTGGACAATTTACAGCATTCTTTGAAAGTTTTGTGAAATTTGAATTTGTTTCAAAAATCCCCCCACTCGATACATGTCAGAACCAGTGTGTCTGCCGTAGACGGTCTCTGAAGGACTCCTTATCTCAACGATGCCGTCTGTGTATGACTCGGTCTCTGACGGACCGATTCCGCAATGACCTAGTCCGGCATAAACAGGGAGAGGCAGTCTGCGTCCGGCAGAGAGCGCGTGATGCACAGACCAACGCTTGCAGAGTCTGTGCGGCAGAATCTGGCACCAGCCGAGACCGTGTATGGCAGGACAGGCAATTGTCTGAAACGCGCACAAAACCAAGAAAATTTGAAAAATTTCACATTAAATTTTTTTCCCAATTTTTTCAAAAATTATTGGTTTTGTGCGCGTTTCAGACAATTTCCAACATTTTTTGATTTTTTGAAAATTTTAAAAAAAATTCTAATATCTCCCCAAAAGAAACTTGCCAATCTCAGTGAATGCCTATCTCTGTCTCAGCCGGACTCGGCCGCTACACACCCGGTTCCTGCCTGCCTCGGTGTCTGCACCAACCGACCACTGCTTGCTCGGTGTCTGCTGGTCGGTGTCTGCCTTACGTGTTGTTTGCTCACTAGAGCTGTTCCGAGACGGCACGTCACAGCCGTGTCATACAGAGACAAGTCAGGTGCAGACACCAACTCATATACACACCGCATTCCTTAGAGACAGTACATCAGAAACAGTCCCACACAGACCGGTTCTGCAAGGCAACAGTTGCGAGAATTTTTAAAAATTTGAAAATTTTCAAAAAATCAAAAAATGCTGTGAAATGTCCAAAAAGCGCATAAAAACAAGAAAATTTGAAAAATTTCACATTAAAATTTTTTCCCAAATTTTTCAAAAATTATTGGTTTTTTGCGCGTTTCAGACAATTGCCAGCAATTTTTGATTTTTTGAAAATTTTAAAAATTTTAAAAAAAATTCTAAAATCTCCCCAAGAGAAACCTGCCAATCTCAGTGAATGCCTCTCTCTGTCTCAGCCGGACTCGGCCGCTATCACACCCGGTTCTTGCCTGCCTCGGTGTCTGCACCAACCGACTTCTGCTTGACTCGGTGTCTGCTGGTCGGTATCTTTCTTACGTGTTGTTTGCTCACTAGAGCTGTTCCGAGACGATAAATCAGAGCCGTGTCATAAAGAGACAAGTCAGGTGCAGACACCAATTCATATACACACCGCATTCCTTAGAGACAGTATATCAGAAACAGTCAGACACAGTCCGGTTCTGCAAGGCAATAGTTGCGAGAATTTTAAAAAATTTAAAAATTTTCAAAAAATTAAAAAATGCTGGAATTTGACCAAAAAGCGAACAAAAACCAAGAAAATTTAAAAAAATTCACATTAAAATTTTTTCCCAAATTTTTCAAAAGTTGTTGGTTTTTTGCGCGTTTCAGACAATTGCCAGCAATTTTTGATTTTTTGAAAATTTTTAAAATTTAAAAAAAAATTCTAAAATCTCCCCAAGAGAAACCTGCCAATCTCAGTGAATGCCTCTCTCTGTCTCAGGCGGACTCGGCCGCTATCACACCCGGTTCTTGCCTGCCTCGGTGTCTGCACCAACCGACTTCTGCTTGACTCGGTGTCTGCTGGTCGGTATCTTTCTTACGTGTTGTTTGCTCACTAGAGCTGTTCCGAGACGACACATCAGAGCCGTGTCATACAGATACAAGTCAGGTGCAGACACCAAGTCATATACACACCGCATTCCTTAGAGACAGTACATCAGAAACAGTCCCACACAGACCGGTTCTGCAAGGCAACAGTTGCGAGAATTTTTAAAAATTTGAAAATTTTCAAAAAATCAAAAAATGCTGTGAAATGTCCAAAAAGCGCATAAAAACAAGAAAATTTGAAAAATTTCACATTAAAATTTTTTCCCAAATTTTTCAAAAATTATTGGTTTTTTGCGCGTTTCAGACAATTGCCAGCAATTTTTGATTTTTTGAAAATTTTGAAAATTTAAAAAAAAATTCTAAAATCTCCCCAAGAGAAACCTGCCAATCTCAGTGAATGCCTCTCTCTGTCTCAGGCGGACTCGGCCGCTATCACACCCGGTTCCTGCCTGCCTCGGTGTCTGCACCAACCGGCCTCTGCTTGACTCGGTGTCTGCTGGTCGGTATCTCTGCCTTACGTGATGTCTGCTCACTAGAGCTGTTCCGAGACGGCACGTCAGAGCCGTGTCATACAGAGACAAGTCAAGTGCAGACACCAAGTCATGTACACACCGGATTCCTTAGAGACAATGTACATCAGAAACAGTCAGACACAGACCGGTTCTGCAAGGCAACATTTGCGAGAATTTTGAAAAAATTAAAAATTTTCAAAAAATCAAAAAATGCTGGAATTTAACCAAAAAGCGCACAAAACCAAGACAATTTGAAAAATTTCACATTAAAATTTTTTCCCAAATTTTTCAAAAATTATTGGTTTTGTGCGCTTTTCTGACAATTTCCAACATTTTTTGATTTTTTGAAAGTTTTGAAATTTTTAAAAAAAATTGTAAAATCTCCCCAAGAGAAACCTGCCAATCTCAGTGAATGCCTCTCTCTGTCTCAGCCGGACTCAGCCGCTATCACACCCTGTTCCTGCTTGCCTCGGTGCCTGCACCAACCGACCTCTGCTTGACTCTGTGTCTGCTGGGCGGTGTCTGCCTTACGTGTTGTTTGCTCACTAGAGCTGTTCCGAGACGACAAATCAGAGCCGTGTCATACAGATACAAGTCAGGTGCAGACACCAAGTCATGTACACACCGCATTCCTTAGAGACAGTACATCAGAAACAGTCCCACACAGACCGGTTCTGCAAGGCAACAGTTGCGAGAATTTTTAAAAATTTGAAAATTTTCAAAAAATCAAAAAATGCTGTGAAATGTCCAAAAAGCGCATAAAAACAAGAAAATTTGAAAAATTTCACATTAAAATTTTTTCCCAAATTTTTCAAAAATTATTGGTTTTTTGCGCGTTTCAGACAATTGCCAGCAATTTTTGATTTTTTGAAAATTTTGAAAATTTAAAAAAAAATTCTAAAATCTCCCCAAGAGAAACCTGCCAATCTCAGTGAATGCCTCTCTCTGTCTCAGGCGGACTCGGCCGCTATCACACCCGGTTCTTGCCTGCCTCGGTGTCTGCACCAACCGGCCTCTGCTTGACTCGGTGTCTGCTGGTCGGTATCTCTGCCTTACGTGATGTCTGCTCACTAGAGCTGTTCCGAGACGGCACGTCAGAGCCGTGTCATACAGAGACAAGTCAAGTGCAGACACCAAGTCATGTACACACCGGATTCCTTAGAGACAATGTACATCAGAAACAGTCAGACACAGACCGGTTCTGCAAGGCAACATTTGCGAGAATTTTGAAAAAATTAAAAATTTTCAAAAAATCAAAAAATGCTGGAATTTAACCAAAAAGCGCACAAAACCAAGACAATTTGAAAAATTTCACATTAAAATTTTTTCCCAAATTTTTCAAAAATTATTGGTTTT